ATGTAGGTGAAGAACGTGCAGCATGTCCCTTCTATCGACAGGAATCTTGTTAGTGGCTCCTGTCTGACTAGAGACGGATTTAAGTTGGTTTTTGAGTCTAATAAAGTAGTCGTGTCTAAACATGGATATTTTATTGGTAAAGATTATGAGTGCGGAGGCCTGTTCCGCTTTTCCCTTTCTGATTTCTGCAATAAGCCTGTGAACCATATTTGTGGCAGTGTGGATGATGAGGCTAATGTTTGGCACTCACGTTTATGTCATATTAATTTTGGCTTGATGTCTCGGCTTTCCAGCATGCGTTTAATTCCTAAGTTTTCCATTGTCAAATGTTCTAAGTGCCATAGTTGTGTGCAACCGAAGCAACCTCGCAAGCCTCACAAGGCTGCCGAGGAGAGAAACTTGGCACAACTAGAACTCCTACATTCAGATCTTTGTGAAATGAATGGGGTATTGACGAAGGGTGGAAAACGATATTTCATGACGTTGATTGATGATGCTACTAGATTTTGCTATGTGTACTTGTTGAAAACGAAAGACGAGGCTCTAGACTATTTTAAAATTTATAAGGCAGAAGATGAAAATCAACTTGACAGAAAGATAAAAAGACTTAGGTCTGATCGTGGTGGAGAGTTCTTCTCAAACGAGTTTGACTTATTCTGTGAGGAACATGGCATCATACATGAGAGGACGCCTCCCTATTCTCCCGAATCTAATGGGATTGCTGAAAAGAAGAACCGCACACTGACTGACTTGGTGAATGCCATGTTGGACACCGCGGGACTACCTAAGGCATGGTGGGGGGAGGCATTGTTGATCTCGAATCATGTGTTAAACAGAGTTCCTAACAGAAATAAGGACAAAACACCATATGAGATATGGATTGGGAGAAAACCATCACTTTCTTATTTGCGCACATGGGGGTGCTTGGCGAAAGTCAATGTACCAATAACGAAGAAGCGTAAACTTGGACCTAAGACTGTGGACCGTGTCTTTCTGGGATATGCTCATCACAGCATTGCCTATAGATTTTTAATAGTTAAATCCGAGGTACCTGACATGCATATTGGTACAATTATGGAGTCTCGTGATGCTACCTACTTTGAAAGCTTTTTCCCAATGAAGGATACATATAGTGGTTCGAGCCAACCCTCTGAAATAATTCCCAGTTCAATCACACCACCAGAACAAACTGAACATTTATATGAACATGTCACTAAGGAGGATGTCAGTGAAGCTCCTCGAAGGAGTAAGAGACAAAGGACGGCTAAGTCCTTTGGTGATGATTTTACTGTGTACCTCGTGGATGACACTCCTAAGTCAATTTCAGAAGCATATGCATCTCCTGATGCAGACTACTGGAAGGAGGTTGTCCGTAGTGAAATGGATTCCATTATCGCTAACAGGACTTGGGAGGTGACAGAGCGACCCTATGGGTGTAAACCTGTGGAGTGCAAGTGGGTGTTCAAGAAGAAGTTTAGGCCTGACGGTACTATTGAAAAGTACAAGGCTCAGCTTGTTGCTAAGGGATATACTCAGAAAGAAGGCGAAGATTTCTTTGACACTTACTCACCTATTGCTAGATTGACCACAATTCGTGTGCTACTTTCCCTAGCAGCCTCAAATGGTCTTCTCGTTCATCAAATGGACGTTAAGACAACGTTTCTTAATAGAGAGTTGGATGAGGAGATCTATATGGATCAACCTGATGGGTTTGTAGTTGAAGGTCAAGAAGGCAAAGTGTGCAAATTGTTGAAGTCTTTGTATGGTCTGAAACAAGCTTCTAAGCAATGGCATGAGAAATTTGACAAAACATTGACATCTGCAGGCTTTGCAGTAAATGAGGCAGATAAATGTGTGCACTATCGCCATGGTGGGGGTGAGGGAGTTATTCTGTGCTTGTATGTTGATGACATACTGATATTTGGGACAAACCTTGAGGTGATAAATGAGGTTAAATCATTCTTGTCTCAAAATTTTGATATGAAGGATTTGGGAGTAGCTGATGTTATCTTAAACATTAAGCTAATTAAAGGTGAGAATGGGATTACACTTTTGCAGTCCCATTATATGGAGAAGATCTTGAATAGCTTTGGCTACATTGATAGTAAGGCTTCTCCAACACCTTATGATACTAGCTTGTTGCTTCGCAAGAACAAGAGAATTGCTAGGAATAAACTGGAATACTCCCAAATCATTGGCTCGCTGATTTACCTGGCTAGTGCAACTAGGCCTGATATCTCCTTTGCTGTCAGCATGGTGAGCCGGTTTACCTCTAATCCGGGAGATGATCACTGGCGTGCGCTTGAGCGAGTAATGCGCTATCTGAAAGGTACTATGGAATTAGGGCTTCACTATTCTGGGTATCCTGCGGTACTGGAGGGATATAGTGATTCTAACTGGATCTCTGATGTGGATGAGATCAAAGCCACTAGTGGATATGTCTTCACACTGGGTGGTGGTGCTGTTTCGTGGAGGTCTTGCAAACAGACTATTTTGACGAGGTCAACCATGGAAGCAGAACTGACGGCACTGGATACTGCTACTATTGAGGCAGAATGGCTGCGTGATCTATTAATGGATCTACCTATTGTTGAAAAACCGGTGCCGGCTATCCTTATGAACTGTGACAATCAAACGGTAATTGTCAAAGTGGATAGTTCTAAGGATAATATGAAATCGTCTAGACATGTGAAAAAACGATTGAAGTCTGTCAGGAAATTGAGAAACTCCGGAGTTATAACGTTGGATTACATCCAAACAGCTAGAAACCTGGCAGATCCCTTCACGAAGGGACTATCACGAAATGTGATAGATAATGCATCGAAGGAGATGGGTTTGAGTCCCATGTGAGTTATACTACGGTGGTAACCCAGTCTATATGATCGGAGATCCCGTGAATTAGAACCTGGGAAGAACAAACCATTAGTAAACTAGAGGAGAGTACCAATCTATACCCTCTCTAAGTGAAGATGCATGTACTCTCGTGAGCTGCAAGGCAGGTTGGCTATGCCTTAATGAGTTCTGTTGGTTTTAATTAGCAAAGATGCTGTCCTGCAGAGCATTCTTGAAAGAACTCACCTTTGTAAGCTTGACTGTTGGTCACAATCTATGAAGATTTTGGGTGAATCTTCTAGGAAGCTTACTAAAGACCTAGGAGTATGACTTATACGCTCCACCCGAGGGGTAGTGTACAGACGGTCTAGTACCAGATAAGACTCTGAGTGAAACTTGTTGGCACAAGACTTGCAATTCAAGGCGTAGTCCATTGTTCAAGTTGTGAGTAAGTGTAGCTTGGAGTTCTAGGTGGATGTTCAACCTTAATCGGTCTCCATCGAACCGCTGGTATATAAACAGTACATTGAAAAAGGCAAATCACAGTGGGAATTTTGAGATTTGGTGGGGGATTGTTGGAATTAATAGATGGGCTAAGGCCCATTCGAAGATTAATTCTTTGGAAAATCACAAAAGCCCACCCCATAGGATGGCATGCATGTGGAGTTTAGTACCACCTTGCTTATTTTAGGAGAGGGGGACCTCCTTAAAAGGGAGTATGCCCTCCTAGCTACTTGAAGCATGTGTGGTGGAGAGAAGAGGGGGAACACTCGCTCGCCTCGCCTGGCAGGGCAGGGCAGGCGGCGCGCGTGCACGACATACGCGTCGAATGGTCCGAAAAATTAGCTCCTCACCCTTGCACAGATGCAGCCTCTTTTTGCAGTTTTGTTTTGCTGCAAGAAAATTCGGATTTGTTTTGTTGTTGGAAACATTCCAAAAAATCCGGTGCGTGAAAACGGCGTGGAGTCCGGATAAGTTACGCGCGACTTATCCGGCTCGGTTACGCAGAGTGGAGATCGTGCAGGCGCCCTGATCACGGTGTGGAGTCCGGATAAGTTACGCGCGACTTATCTGGCTCGGTTACGCAGAGTGGAGATCGTGCGGGCGCCCTGATCAAGCGACTTATCTCTATAAAAACCGTGCCGCCGCCTTCACGCAACACACGTGAAATCAATCTAGGGTTTGCCTCCTCCTCTGTGTTGCGCCGTCGCTCGTGGACTACTCCATCCCGCTCGCCAGCGTGCACCGGCGATCGGGAGAGCAGGTCTCCGGAATCTCTGCCTTCGACGTCCTACAGCGGGAGAAGGCGGCAATAAGGTTTTTGGGAAGCGCTTCGCGCGACTGCTCCCTATTCGTCCGCGACGGTTCGCCTTCCACTCCGCTCGCATGCTGCGCGCCTTCGTCGACGCTCACAACCGCGGTAGTTCCTGCCGAGCAACCAGCCTTTCCGCCACCTCGGTACGTGTTCGACATGTTACGCATATTTGATCTGTTCATGTTTTACTGCTTAGTTTGTGTAGATCTAATGATGCGTTAATACTAGTATACATCTGTAATGTCATGATTTATTTATGGAATATATTAAATCATTATATGCCTATATTCTCAACAGCTATGACAACGAGCCGCGACTCCGACGATGATAGCCTCGGTGGGATCCCCATCCGTACTCCTCCTTCGTGATGCTGACACCCACATCATGTGGTCTTATGCACCACACACAACGTCTGCTCCTGCATCACCGACGCATTCCATGGACGAATTTCGAACTCGACGTCAAGATGGGGGAAGGATTGATTTGTTTTGAAGCCAAAACTTGCCATACCAAAATATTGACATTTTGAGCAGTATTTTTGGCAATGTTTGGTTTAATACCAATACTCGCCAAAACCACATGAATATTACCAAAATATTAGCATTGGCAAAAACTTGCCCATAATTTAGCATTTCCAATTTTTTTTTGGCATGGTTGCAAACCAAATAAGCCATTCTTTTTTTTGTGCACGCGGGGGGGGGGGGGGGGGGGGGGCTCACGGCAGAGGCGCGGAACGAGGCCGGCCCAGTAAGACGGGCCGTGGTGGATATGGGGATTCGGCCCAAAACACCCCCACCACTCCCAACACGGCGACGCGTTCCTTCTATCCAACAAAATCCATCAACCCCTTCTCTCTCAAAAACGAAAAAAAAAAATCAAAATCCTTCCCCCTTTCAAATTCGAAATTTCGAATCAAACACGCGCACGCTCCTCTCTCCTCTCCCCTCTCGATCGAGGCACGCTTCTCCGCGGCGGCGGCGCGCGACCGGATCACGGCGGCGGGGGAGGGGAGGGGAGGGGAGGATGCAGCAGAAGCCCGCGGCGGAGGCCATGGAGGAGGAGTTGAAGGGGGAGGCCGTGGGGCCCCGCCGCCCCGGGCTAGGGTTATGGTTGGCGGCGCGGCGGCGGCTGGCCCCCGACGACCCCTTCTTCGCCGCCGGGGACATGGAGCGCGAGCTCCTCGCCAAGCAAGTGCGTTCTCTTCCCCTTTCACCTCCCTTCCTTCTGCTCGCTTAATTTGGGCGCTTTAGCTTCTTCGATTTTACGGGGATTTTTTTTGTTAGCTGTATTGAGCTGGAACCCGTGGAAAAGATGAAATAGAGATAGTAAAATCAGCCATGATAACCTTTGATTTTGCAGAAATTCAGCTGTACTGTACATAAGAGGAAAAGCTTTTGCCCTTCTTTGAAAAAAAAAAGAGAGAAGAAATTCAGCTGCACTTAGCATCAGTTAGGTGGGAATTCCTTAATGCTCTGCAATACTTGTTTCTTTGATTTCTTGAACGGATCATGGCCGATTAGCTCAGATACCCTGCCCTGATGTGAAAAGTGTAGATGAACTGTGCTTTTACTCAACAAGTCCCCTATACTCCACTGTTTTTTTAGGTGTCTGATGTTTTCTTGTTTAGGTTGCTCTGGATCTCTCCGAAGATGAACGGTACCAGCTTGAGAGGATGGAAGTGGCGAGTGCCAAGTAAGAGATTGATCTTTACTTATGCTTACTCTTTGGATTGATGATTATTTATCCTTTCCGTTTCACGCCGAATTAGGGGGGGGGGGGGGTTAGTCCCTGTCACATCAGATGTTTGGACACTAATTTGAAGTATTAAACGTAGACTATTGACAAAACCCACTCCATAACCTTGGACTAATTCGCGAGACGAATCTATTGAGCCAAATTAATCCATGATTAGCCTATGTGATGCTACAGTCAACATGTGCTAATTATGGATTAATTAGGCTTAAAAAAAATTTCACGTGAATTAGCTCTCATTTATGTAATTAGTTTTGTAAGTAGTCTATGTTTAATACTCTAAGGGCCCCTTTGAATCGTAGAAATGAAAAAACGGAGGAATAGGAAAAACATAGGATTCGACAGGAATATAAGTGTAAAACAGAGGATTGCAAAACACAGGGAAAACACATGAATGATCGTTTGATTGGACCAGAGGAAAAACACAAGAATCGGATGAGAGAGATAGACTCAAAGGATTTTTTCCAAGAGGTTGGACCTCTTGCTAAGTTTCCTCCAAAACCTATATGCCATAAGCCATTCCATAGGAATTTTGTAGGATTTGGAAAACTTCAATCCTTTCAATCAAAGAGCTATATAGGAAAATTTCCTACAGGATTTCAATTCTATGAAATTCCTTCATAATTTCATTTGATTCAAAGGGGCCCTTAATTAGTGTCTAAACATCCGATGTGCCAGGGACTACAGTTTAGTCCCTAGATCCAAACACCCCCTAACATACCCTCTCTACAGATTTAAAACAGCATGTTAATGTACTGTTTTTCTGCATCCCCATAACACCATAAATTTCTTCGCTGTAGCTAAGGAAGTCCCTGAACCAGTGGTCCACACCCCACAGTGACTAAAGTCTGAGAAAATGACAACTGGATGTCTTGAACTAAATTATTGTACGAGTTCTCTAGAACCTATAATTCAAAATGATTGGCGAGTATTCCATCCTGACACCTGCTAAATCATGTCACCTTTTGCAGTTGTATGTTCTCTGTGTTGTGTTAGTACTGCAAGTTTTGGTCTCATTCTGTTTATTTGATCATATATACTACTGCAAGTTTATGTCACCTTTTGCAGTTGTATGTTCTTTGTGTTGTGTTAGTACTGCAAGTTTTGGTCTCATTCTGTTTATTTGATCATATATACTACTGCAAGTTTTGGTCTTATCTGTTCGATTTATTTGATCATATGTCTTAAGCTCTTGCAGTGCCCTTTTATGCCCAATTTCTGGCTGTGGTGCTCATCTAGATTGCCTGGAGAACTTTGAGGACCACTATCGCACCCGTCATACTGCTTCATGCTCTGTATGTTGGAGAGTGTATCCAACTTCAAGGCTGCTGAGTATTCATATTTCTGAGGCACATGATTCCTTTTTTCAAGCAAAAGTTGCCCGTGGTTTTCCAATGGTAATAAATTCATAATCTATCCATGCCCCCAGTTCTTTAATTGGTTTAATTTTGTGGCATCATGCACACTAGCCAATTTTATGCAAACCCAGAACTTCCAGTGGACTGTGCCTGCTGGCCAGTTTAAAATTACTACTCAATGTCTTAGCATTAGTTAGCATTACATGGTTTTCTGGTCCCGCTAATGAAGCTTTCCAATTTCCACATGTCACCTTTACTGGCATCTGATTCTTGTATAAATTTACATAGTAGTAAGTGATACTTTTATATTCCCTCAACTTTCTATAGCAATTCACATTGTGTATGCTATTTTTGAAACAGTATGAGTGTTTGGTGGAGGGTTGTGGGGTGAAGTTGAAGAGCTACAAAAGTCGGCAGCAGCATCTTCTTGATAAGCACCAGTTTCCCAAGTCATTTGAATTCTTCAAAAAAGCACGCCCTTCGCAACGCCAGCGGAACAAGAACCAGAAGCAACGGCAAACAGTTCACAAGGGAGACGAGACAAGCGAAACACTAATGGATGTTGATGGGAAGAAGAGCTCAAGGTACATGAATTCCAGATATCGGCCAAAGCAACATGATGGAAAAGAGTCAAAAGAAAATGAGCATAGTAGCTGTAAGGAGGCCAAGAACAACGAAATGGAGGTTGACAAGCAGGTTGATGAGCTTGCTTCGGCCGTATCAAGACTGAGCACAGCGGATTCAACTCCTTCTAGCATAAGCTTTGGTCATCGTCGCTCTCGCGGTCTTGCTTTTGTCCCTAGGTCGATTCGGCAAAACAAGCAGGTTTCTCAGACAGAACCAAAATGACAGCATTTGATACCATCTTTCTCTTCATTGCTGATCTCGGATGCATCAACAATCCTGAATGTGCTGTTTCCTGTACCTGGACATTCACCGAATCCACTAATATACATTCTTGTAGTTGTATCACGAGATATGTCTTCTAGCTGGTTATCCTTGCTTATGGATGTACTGAGCTTCCTGTTACTGCCATGTAGTAGAACAATTTTTCTGAAGCGGCAAATATGAAGTGCAAAATACAAGACAGTTCTTGTGGTTGATCGATTTACCAGCTTGTTCTTTCTTTCCTGCAGGTGAAAGTTAATGACACTGAATGAAGGATCCTGTTAGGGTTAGCTACTTAGCTTGCTCTTCTCTTCGATGGATAGAACATACCAACTCCTTCGTCAACTGCAGTGTAGTTTTGCTCGGTCCTTTTCACACCTCTGGATATCTGAAGTAGATGTAATCTGAATTTCTGATTGATACCCGGCATGTAATCGACATGGCCAGTTTGTGAGTTTAGTTTGCTTCGTAATTCTGATAAAAATTAACTATCTGAAGCTATGATAAAAATCAACTGTATACGGACTAGTGTATGGAATTCAAATTCGAAAGATATCTCCATGGGTACAAATCATCCAGGATTTCCACTAACATTCCTCGTAAAGTTGTCTCCATTTGGGTCCAATAGGAACAATTTGGGCTGGCTGGCCTAGATATTGTACACTTGCTAGCCCAACAAATATGGATAGGCATGTACTTATACAAAGTAGGAATAAGTCCACTATTCATCCCATATCTTTTTGCCGAGTTTAATTTGCATCACTAAACTGCAAACCGGTGCAAAAGAGATTATAAGACAGTACGGAGGGCGATGCTAATGGGCGCCCCCATCCCCCTATACGTCCTCTCCCCCTTCTCCCCTTCTTCTCTTCCTACTACACCATAAATTTTAAAATAATAAAAAAACAAAGTTAGAAAATTTTATGTATAAAAATACTATATATAAAAAATATTTGAATTCAAATTTAAATTTGAATCGGATATATAAACTTTTTACTTATAAACTTTGGGTCTATAAACTTTAGGTGTATAGAAATACTATATATAAAAAAAATTGAATTCAAATTCGAATTAATATTTGAATTTAAATTCAAATTTGAATCGGGTATATAAACGTTTGACTTATAAACTTTGGGTCTATAAACTTTAGATGTATAGAAATACTATATATAAAAAATATTTGAATTCAAATTTAAATTTGAATCGGATATATAAACTTTTGACTTATAAACTTTGGGTCTGTAATCTTTAAGTGTATAAACTTTAGAGGTGTAAACTTTAGGTGTATAAATTTTAGGTGCATAAATTTTCTAAAATAGGAAAGTAATGCGGTGCCAAAAAAGGAAAGTGGAGGGAGGGGGGATTGATCGCCCGGAGCGATTGATCGCTCGTTAGGATTCTCGCAATATGGAGGCTGGTTTTGGCTGACATAAATAGTGAATTAAACAGCGCTGGTGTCTCCTGTAGCCTATGTGGCTGCATGCTGTTCCTCCCAATGCTCTACTTCCCGCGGCACCTTTTGACACGGCAGATGGTGGAGGCCACGCTGGAGGAGCTTGTCATCTACTATCCCTTCTCCGCCATGTGCCTGCCGCTCTGGCTGGTGTTGCCAAGCGCCTCGCTGCGGGGGCTCGTGCCGAGGGTGGACTTCGACATGTCCTCGGTGGCGTCTAGCGGGTGGATCCGGGTACCTAGACTAGATCGGCGTCGTGCCAAACCTTGAGGATATGAGGCTGTGGGGCTTCAGTACTAGGGCTGAATATGGGCCGGTACGGTTGGATCATGACATTCCCATATCCTAGACAATATTTTCCTTTAAATTCGGAACCGGATATAGGTAGTGCCGAATAACATATCATTCATCCTGTATCATTTCCCATATTATTTCCTTATGAATCGGATTCAGGAATGGATACCTATTTGTTCTCTAATTCATATCTATTAAATATAAGAAGGTGATTAAAATGCTAAAAGATATATACGAAGGCAAAATTATACAATATTACATGTGAGCTCGTAAAATAGTGATTAACCAATCTTTTACCATGTTTATATATGGATCTATAATAGATTTTCATATATATTTTATAATATGGGACATACGGGTGGATACAAGTTTTCTTGTATCCTAACCCTTGCCTTTTTTACGGATTTAGATTCGAACTATCCAAGTTTTTCCCGCAAGCCTCAGGTTGGATGAGCGAGCGATTGGGAAATATCGCCCCATTTTCACCCCTAGGCCTCACGATGGCACGCGCCCTAGCGGGGAGGGGGGGCAGTTGGCTTTAGCGGGCTAGAGTTGGCACGGTGCTACGGGATGTCTGGAGAGAATAGAGGGAAGAGAGGCGGGAGAGAAAAGAGGGGAGGAGTGAAATGTGGGGCCCACTTTTTTTCCCTCATGAACGTCTAGTCAGTACGAGTGGATCGGATCAGCATAACACGTTAGCGAAACCAGCTATCTATGTTGCTGGAGGACCTAATCTAACTCAGAAAAGTTAGGGAATAGACAGTGAACTTATTTCATATGAAGAGTAGACGGGCTTTGTGGGCTCGGCCCGTTGGATCCAACGGCAAGCGCCGCGTGCAGGAGGGGGCCGCCGCAGCTGCAGCCGGCCACGGACGCGACGTGTGCGGATCTGCACGCGCGCGGCGGCCGACCTGACGCGCTCTCTTTAACGTGGCCGGCCGCCCCGTTTCTCCGTGCTTTGTGCCTACCAACATCATGCTGTGACATGTGAGCTATACATGTATGATCATGTGACAACGTGGCCGGCAGGCATGATGATGGATTGCAGGGTTGCAGCACACTCGGAGGAGGTACCATCTATATCAAAATGTAGCATCGTACAATTAGATTAGACACATTCTAATAAAACGAATCTGAGAATGTGGACCTGTCTAATTTAATCTTAGGTTGTATATTTTAGGATAGCGAAAATATACCATTCGCTAAAAAATTTGATTTTTCTATGACGGAGAAAGCAGTAGTGTAAGCAGAGCGCCCGTAAACATATCCTCACTTTTGGTTCATCTCATATTTTTGTAAGATGGAGGAAACATGAGTGAAATTAGAGCACCCTGTAAACATATCCTCATTTTGGTTCGTCTATCAGTCACGTAACTTTGTTATTTCTGTCGGTTACCTAGTACTAATACCTAAGATGATAATCCACTGTAATGGGAAGATGAGCACGGTTTTATATCTGAAACTGAAAATGGGTCTGTTGGTCATAAAACTTACTACCTCCGTTTCGAAATATATCAAACTAGCTTGTATTAGATTAGACACGATCTATTATTCAATTTGGACAGAGTCCATATAGCTATGATATGCTTACTATTTCATATTGCTTTCATGAACTTAACTTAAAGTTTTGGACCACAATGAAAGTTTCAGTTCATATCATATGGCATACTACTTCTATTCTTTTTTTTTTGTTAAAAAAAAACTGGAGCTCTCAATTTTTTTAAAGTTTGTCCTGTTACAATTTTAATCAGTTCTTTATTATTCCTCTCCACATCAACAATTTTTCCTCGATGATCCGGTTCCCTTTTGACCTCACTGCACTGTCCCAGATCTCTCATTAATCCAACCCAGAAAAAAAAAACAGTACAAAATAAAATACACAAGATTCAACAAAGCAACCTGACCTGGTCGGTGCTGTACCACGTGGCATCTCCCCTCCATGTCCCAATCACTTCGAGAGACAAAAGAAACACTCCTCCAGTGGCATCCTGCCATGTGTCCTCCATTCTTGTACTTAATCTCTTCTTATTTAAGGCCTCATAATCTCTTGCTTTCCCTTCCCTAGTAAATCAAAGAACACAAAGCATCCAAAACAACACCAGGAAACTTCTTTTCAATCGATCACTCCACTGGTGAGTAGTGAGTGGCTAGTGACTGGTCAGTTCATCACTTGTGAAGGTTTTGCAATCAGGAAAAGTTCAGAAGATCATGGGCAAGCTCTGGACAATCCTCACTCACGTTCATTCCCTTGCAGGGTACATATGGTTTCTATTCTTGTAATGTTAATATGCACTTAGCTGCAGTTAAATTTAAGCTTAAACAGTTAAAACTGATTCCTGTGAATTTTCTTTCTGCTGCCCTTTGTGGTTGGTTGGTTGCAGGCCTACCGTCATGCTCCTGTACCCCTTGTAAGTTCAGAGATTTTCTCTCTATTAGCTTTTCTTCTTCTTCTTTTTATAAGTTCATGTGATTGAATGTTTAATTTTGAGATGATTTTGGTTGGTGCAGGTATGCGTCGGTGCAGGCCATGGAGAGCCCATCGAAGCTTGACGACGAGCAGTGGCTGGCCTACTGGATCCTCTACTCCTTCATCACCCTCGTGGAGATGCTTCTCGAGTCCCTCATCTACTGGTTGAATTCGATTAACCCATCTCATCTTGATCTTGATCGAGCAGATATGGATTAATTTCAGAAAGAACTCATTCATAAAAGTACTATGATTTTGTTCGATCAGGATACCGATCTGGTACGAGCTGAAGCTGCTGTTCATCGCGTGGCTGGCGCTGCCCAACTTCAGGGGAGCCGCGTTCATCTACAACAGGTTCGTCAGGGAGCAGCTCAGGAAGCATGGCCTCGCCGGCGCCGGCGCCGGCGCCGCCGCCAGCGTCGGCAAGAAGGACAAGTCGTCGCCGTCGTCGTCACCCAAGGACAAGGAGAAGACCAAGAGCAAGTTCCTCTCCTTCGTCACTCCCAAGAAGGTGAGTTCTTAAACCTCGAGCAGCATCAGTCTCTTTTTTTTTTCTTGATTAATCTTGGCTGAAATTTGATCCATGTTCTTTGTGTCTTCGTTATGTCAGGATCATGAAGCTTACTGAGCCAAGAAGTGCTGATCAGTCGGATCCCTGAAGATAGTTTTTTAGTGTGTGTACTGTTCCATTTGTGTTTGTCCCTCTTCCTCTCCTTCAGAAGAGGCAGCTAGCTAGCTTCATGTTTGGCTGGTCTTTTTGGCCATCTGTGCATGTCTGTAAACTTTATTGGAGTGAGGGGAAAAAAGAGCATAATTAGTTGCTCCATGTTGAGTTGTTAGAGTGGTTTCTTGTAAATGTAATTCAGGATCTCAGATGAGCAGACAATAAAAACACACTGTTCCAGGAGTGACCTTTCTCACCTTTTCAGTTAGGAAGGATGTATACAACTCCTCTGCTTGCTTTCTTTAAACAATACTCAATGCTTTGATTATGGTGATAATCCAAAGTGTTAAGAAGAAACTTCATACTATGCTTTATGTGATCCTGGCATTACAATTTAGTAGAAACTAGGAGCACCTGTTCTTCTTTTGATCTGTTCATTGCTGTCTGTTTTGTTCTTAGAGAAGTTATTCTGTACTTTCGGTTGCTGCTAGCTTTTGGATGTTTCACCTGCCCTGTAGTGCTTCATCTGCTTGTTGGCAACTCAAATGCTAATTAAATCTGTAGTGCATGCCCTAAATGTCATACTTCATCTTTGGTTTCGTTGTGCAAGGCGTCATCAGCATCCAAGCAACAAGCATAGGCCGCACCGTCACTAACCACTACAATTATTATTATTGCAAAAACAAGATGCTTAGGAAACATCAGTGAGTAAGCTATGAACAGCACTAACTCACCTTCTCTCAGCACAAGGACCGGTAATCGAACCGGTGAAGCTCTCGGTTCAATGGTTCACTGGTTCAACCGGTTGGACCGTTGGTTTAATCCGGTTCACTAACAGTTAAATATATTAAGCATTCTATCTAAACACAAGGCATATGATAGCCTTGTGGTTGGCCTCCCATGTGGTCCTGTGTTCGAATCCCACCCATGCACATTTTCGCCCATTTTCACCTAAACAGCACCCATGCGCGCGTACAACAGCCGCCAAGCCCGGTTCAAAGCGGTTTTATTCCCCGGTTTAATGGTGGTTTTTCTCCAAAACAGAGCGGTCTAACCGGTTCAGTGCCGGGTTGATTGCATACCGGTCTTTTACCTGGACCGGACCGGTCGGGGCTCTAGTTCCGGTTTTCTCCGGTCCGACCGCCGGTCCTGTCCGGTCTTAATAACTAGGAAAAAGTACACCCAAGGTCCCTCAACTTGTCATCGAGATACAAAATCGTCCCCCAATCGCAAAACTAGATACCGGGCGTCTCTTAACTATCAAAACCGTTCGCTTTAGATCCCACGGTGGTTTTGACCCCGGTTTTATCTGACGTGGCGGCCGAGTCAGCGTGAGCCCCACATGTCAGGATGCCACATCATCTATCCCTTCTTCTTCTCTTGGTTTTCTCTTGGGCAGGCTGGCCGGCGTGTTGGGAAGTCGATGGGGTGAGGCGGGAGAGGAGGAGGATCGGCGGCGGTGGCCGGCGACCGGCGATGCGGCGGCGGCTGTGACCATGCAGGAGCAGGTGCGTCGGCGGAGTGGGCAGGTGATGACCATCATCTCTGAGCAGTTCCCGCCATACGTCGGCGCCTACATCGCCACGTTCCGCGTTGACTCCGACGTCGTCTCGCTCAACGGGATGGAGGTGCTGTAGGCGGACGCCGAGGTGGGGCGCGATGGCCGAGTCCACGTCATCATCCGCTGCTAAGCGTAGGCCTCACAAAGTGGAAGGAGAGGAGTGGCACGGCGAAGACAGCAAAGCGGCGCGGCGGTTGGGGAAACGACGTGGCGAGGACGGCGGCGGTTGAGCAGGAGCGGCAGGCCTCGCAGGTGCTTGGTGAGGGTGCTCGTCGGCATCCCGGTCTGTGGCGACGGCACCGCCGCGACGCTGGGTCTAGCGGGCTGCCTTGCCTTGCCGCCACCACCAAGCTGACGAGCTCGCCGGCCTCCCCGCGCCTCCGCCGGCTGTGCATGTGGCTCCAGCTCTGCCGCCGTGGTCGCCCGCCGCTCCTCCTCATCGGCGAGCACGGAGAGGAGGCTGACGCCGCCGCCTTGCTCCTCCTCGTCTGCGAGCATGGAGAGGAGGCTGCCGCTGCCGCCTTGCTCCCCCTACCGCCACCGCCGCCTTCCTCCCTACCCGTCGGCCGGCGCCGCCGTCCTGCCCGGAGCCCCAGAGAGAAGAAGAGTGAGAGAGAGAAGAGGAAGGGAGAGAAGAGGGGAAAGAAAGAGGAGGCTGACCTGGACAGGCTGATATGTGGGGCCTACGTGGGTCCCACGCTGACTCAGCAGCCACGTAGGATAAAACCGAGATCAAAACCACTGAGGGACCTGTTAGGACCGATTTTATATAGTTAAGGGATCCCGCATATCTGATTTTGCTGTTCAAGGATGTTTTTGTATCCCGATGACAAGTTGAGGGACCTTTGGTGTACTTTTTCCTAATAACTATGCTTGAGCTTCAATTCACAAGTGTCTTGCTTTCTTTCCCTTACTTTGGGCTGTGACTGCGTGTTCCACGATATGGGCCTAACAAGTACGTTCTTGGGCTGAACCTCGAAAAGAGCGGGCCCAATAGTCTGGGATGGAAGGTAATTTATAAAGGAAAAAGTTCACTTCGAGTCCCTTCATTAGTGCCTAAATCATAATATTGGATATCTCAATGTCCTTAGTTATCAAAACTGGTATAATTTGACTCACTTGGTGGATTTGGAAGACGGTTTCACTGACGTAGTGATCATTTGGCAGTGTTGACTTGGTTTTCATCATACGTGACGTTGACGTGACGCTTATATGGTATTAGAATTTAAAAAATATATGTGGGACCCATTTTGTTATTCATTAAAAAAAATTGTAGAGCCCATCGACATGTGGGACCCTCATGTCAGCAGATCTCTTTTAACCCTTCTTCCTCCTCCCCCTCTTGTAGGGACACATGGCGGTCGCCGGTCACCGCTCCGATGCCGCCCTGGTCGTTGATGACGACAACGCTGCCGCGCACCATTATCAGGAATAGGGAGCGCTTCGATGCTGGAAATCCCGCCTCACTGTCGACCTCGCCTTGTGGTTCGGGCGTGAAATTATCAATTTTCCGAAAAGATGCAGGCCAGTGTATTCCGGGTTGGGTGTGGTTACGAACAAATTATCAATCACGAAGGTCGCCACCCGCCGGCCTCCTCAGCTGCCGCTCCCCGTCCATCCTGCCGGCACCGCAACAAGATGGCGCGGCTCAATCACGACTGCCCCCTCGTCGTGAGCGCCAGCGCGGAGTTTGCCGCTGCCTTCACCGCCCGGGGCTGCGGTGGCACGCCCCCGCCCTCACCTCCGGTTGCCGTGAAGAGAAAGTGGGAGAGAAAGAGAGAGAAGGGAGAGAGTGGGAGAAGGAAGAATGAAGGGAGTATAACATGTGAACCCCACAATATATTTTTTTTTTATGAATGACAAATGTGTTCCATACGTACTTTTTTTAACTCTCATGCTACATGAACGTAACGTGGAGCGAAGATCAGGTCAACGCCACCACGTAAGAGCCAAGTCAGTGAAACCGCCCTTCAAAACTGTCGAGGGAGTTAAATTGCACCGATTTTAATAGTTGAGGTTTGAGATATTCGGTATTGTGATTCAGGGATACAAACTAGATTCGGTCACTAATTAAGGGAGTCGAAGTGAACTTATTCCTTTTATAAGTGGTCGTAAAGGTTTCCGGTATTTCAATTTAGGGATACGATTTTAACTCGACGCAAAGATGAGGGATGTAGACTGGACTTATAAGTGGCCACCAGTGGTCGCAAGGGGGAATCAATGAGATTTGTTGAACTTGGCTTCGCAAGGCCATGGCTGATGGTTCTCTTCCTCCTCCAACTTTGCCCTTCCTTTATTTCTAGTACTTATCTAGCCTCAGTCCTCGCTTATTTCTAGTCTAGATTGCTCTTTCCAGTCTCTCATATTCTCTTTGATTTGTATCCATAAGCACTTGTATTTTGGAGTGGATTTGCAGTTAATTTGAGGCAGCACTTGTGTGAGAGAAATTGTGTGGCTGTTGTGCTTGGGAATAAGTTCATCTGAGATCCCTTAACTTATCAATGATTCTGATTTTCGTCCCTCAACCCAAAAACCAGATACAACGGGTCCCTCAACTATCAAAACCGGTGCAGATTAGATCCTTTGGCGGTTTTGAGGACGGTTTTGGCTGACGTGGCGCCTACGTGGTAAATTTAACTTGGTCTTCATCTGACGTGGCATTGACGTGGCGCTTACGTGACAATTCAATACACAAAAATAATAAACTCTGTGGGACCCACATGTCAGTCCAACTCACCCTCCTCTTCTTCCTCCTCTCTCTCCCATCTCTCTCATGTGCAACACGACAGAGAAGGAGCGGAAACCCGCTAGCCATCGTCGTCGCCGCCGCCGACGTTTCCCCGCGCCGTCTCCACCACCGCATCCCAGTGACCACCACTGTTGTCCACGAGAACACCGCTGACAAGGCGCCCGTCGTCGTCATCGATGCGGGTGCTTCGACGGCGGTGTCCGGTCGCCACCGCCGCGGTGGTCGACTCCGGTCAGCCTCGCCGCGGTGGTGTCTGGTCGCCGCCACCGCCGTCGACAACGACGACGACGTCTGCCGGAGCTTCTTGCGCTTGCGCAGCCGCGCGTTCCAGAAGTTCTTGATCTCGTTATCTGACCTGCCCGGCAGCCTCGCCGTGATCTGTGACCAGCTGCACACGCACGCACGGATCATGAACACTCCATTGATCAAATCGATCGTTTCATCATCTCATGGTTAATTGAGCAATAATCTAGCTACCTGTTGCCGCGGCATCTAGATACCAATACAAATGGTATCTACACGCATAACAGTATAAATTTCACCGACCGTCATTGTTCCATACTCCCAGATCGCTCGTCGATTTCTTTCAGTTTTTTGTCTACTCCGATGTCGTTCGACGCGGTCTCCCGGCGGGAGATGTCGCCGCCGCCGGCGTTGGAGGAGGAGATGGCGACTGTGACTCAGGCGCCGGGGCTGTCGACGCCGTCCATGCTCGGTAATCCAGATGGTGGAGCTCCGGCGGCGGCCACGGACCAGAGCGCGCCGTGCGCCACCGGCGGCGAGGCGTTGGAGGGCGAGGGCCGGCTGCGGAAGGGGAAGATGGTCGCCGAGGACCAGAGCCCGCCGAGCGTGAGCGGCGGCGTACCGGCTGACCTGCCTTCCGGCGGCGACAAGCTTGCTGAGAACGGCGGTGACACTGACACCCTCCTCCTGGGTGCCCGTCGTCCGTGGATGGAGA